GTGCCAGACTTGGCCTCTGCCTCTTCTACTGACTTATCAGCCTCTCTGGCCAGACCTTGACACACCTCTAGGATGGTTTTCTTTCTCGTTCTTAGTTTCTCGAAGTTGTCCTCTGCAGCCTTTCTCTTCTGAGCCTGCGCTTCTAACTCCTTCTTCCTTCTCTCCTCTGAAATGTAGTCACAGTACCTGGTCCTAGCTCCTTCCACAGACTTCAGGAGCTCCTTAGTGAGTGGCACCTGTCAGGGAAATTCATGTAATTGTATTATAAAACATTGCATTGCTTTTAAAACTAATAGATCACTTAAAGCTCTCTACCGCTGTGCCTGTTGACAGTTTTTTTTAATAAATGAAGAAACTTGATGAAATTAACACACCTTAGTAACACCTCAGTGTAGAGCGACATAGTTGCACACAAGCCGCCGAGCAACAACAGTGTCCTCCATTATGTTGGTTGTCTCCACCTCTTTGTTCACCGATAAGCCTCTCTCGACAGACAGTTGACCATGGGACAAGATGAGCAGCTTCTGGCAAAAAGCCCAGAGGTCAGGGTAGGGCTTGCTGAGGACATCACACAAGAAGACGTCCACTCTCTTTCGCATGGGTTGGAAAGAGTGGAACTCCTCACTTTTCCCCTCAAGGGACAGGAGAACAGTGAACTGCTCCAGTATAACATCACCTATCACAAAACATATAAAGAAAGGTGAGAAAAATAACATAAATCAGTACATCAACAATCAGACATGTATTGGTCATTATTGAGACCTGCAAACTCTGTAGTGAAAAAGGTGGCAACATACAAAACTAAAACCCTCTTGATTCACTGAAACTACCCTGGTTGAAATAAAAGTTTACTGTTGACTTGGTGACCTGCATGTAGTCCTCCCTCCTCGCTGGCACATTGTTTAACTATGTGTGCATTGCCTTCAAAAACATTGTACAGTGAAATGTTTTTGATGGCTTCCACGACAATGTGAAACAAGACTGAAAAATAGAAATACAAATTAAAAATTAAATAATTAGAATTAGAATAAAAGTTTCAGTTAACACAACAGCAATGTACAGAGTTGTACAGTGGGTTGTCGGTGGGGGGAACCATGTGCACAGATAAAATTTACATTATGGTTGTACTTAGTTTTACTGAATTTTTATTATATTTTTCTCAACTACTAATGGATACTTCTGTTAAGAGAAGAGTTAATTCAAGAGAGGAGCTTTTTTCGTTGAAACGGAGCAAGTCTGTGAGACACCATCCTTTTCCAGCCGAGATTAATAGGTGTTTTCGTGGTTGCCATGCTGGTGCAAAGGTGAAGGCTTGGAAAGGGAGATATAAGCCCTTTCTGCCATTAGTCATCATGGGAAATGTCAACTCTCTGCCCAACAAGAGTGATGAACTGGAGATATTGGTGAAGACTCAAAGTATACAGTGAGTGCAGTCTCATGTGTTTTACGGAAACATGGTTGAATCAAAACATCTCAGACTCCAACGTGGATCTACCTGGCTTCACTCTCATACGATCGGACAGAGACTCTAAAGCTAGTGGCAAGAAAAAAGGTGGGGGCCTGGCTTTATTTGTGAACCAGAGATGGTGCAGTCCTGCACATATTATTGTCAAGGAGAAGATGTGTTGTCCAGATATTGAACTTTTGGCAGTTGGTATGAGGCCATATTATGTACCAAGAGAATTCAGTCATATCATAACAATACTTGTGTACATCCCACCCAAGGCAACTGCTGAAGTTCCATGTGAAGTTCTCCATGAACTCGTTGCTAGGATACAGACTAAACATCCTGAGGCACTATTGATAGTATCAGGAGACTTCAACCATGTTTCCCTCTCCTCTCACCTGACTGGATTTACACAGTTTGTTAAATGTCCAACTAGAGAAAATAAAACCCTTGATCTGCTGTATGTCAATGTCAAGGAAGCTTACAGAGCCTTTGCCTTACCACCACTGGGCAGGTCAGATCACAGCTTGGTTCTTCTGCAGACATGTTACAAACCCCGTGTGTGGAGGCAGTCTGCAACTAAACTCACAGTCAGGAAATGGACACCAGAGGCTACTGAGGCTCTAAGAGACTGCTTTGAATGCACAGACTGGGATGTGCGGCTGGAAACAGAGAAGAACATCATGGACATTGATAGACAGCTTGACTGTTTTACTGATTACATCAACTTCTGTAGAGACACAGTCATACCTACAAAGACTGTACGCTGTTTCCACAATAACAAACCTTGGATTACCAGTGACATAAAGGCAATCCTCAATGAGAAGAAGGCAGCTTTTAGAGATGGTGACAAAGCACGGCTCAAACAAGTGCAACATGAGTTGAAGAAGAGACTTAAGATGGCAAAGGTGGAATACAAAAAGAAATTGTAGAGGAATCTACAACATAGCAATATCCTTGAAATGTGGAGAGGATTCATTACCATTTCTGGTTACAATAACAAGAAAAGACAGCCAGTGGTGGGTGATGCAGAAAGAGCTGATGAACTCAATCAGTTCTTCAACAGATTCAATACGGCAGCCACTCCCACTTCCAATGCTTCTCCTCCTCCTCCTCCTCCCTGGAGGACCTGGGGGTGAGGTTGGAGCTGGGAAGACTTTGCTCTGGGAAGGCTGCTGGCCCAGATGGTGTGTGTCCAAGGCTCTGCAAAGACTGTGCTGCCCAACTGTGTCAACCTCTCCACAAGATCTTCAACCTCTGTCTACAGTCGGGGCGGGTCCCGGCACTGTGGAAGACTTCCTGTGTTGTGCCGGTACCAAAAATTAAATGTCTAGCTGAACTTAATGACTTCAGACCAGTAGCCCTCACTTCGCACATCATGAAGACCTTGGAGTGGCTGATTCTACGCCTACTGAGACCCAACCCCCTGCAGTTTGCATACAAACAACACATTGGAGTGAACGATGCTGTTCTCTAGATGCTTCACCGTGCCCTAGCTCATCTGGAGGAACCTGGCGCTTATGTGAGAATCATGTTCTTTGATTTTCAAGCGCGTTCAACACCATCCAACCCAACATACAAATACAAATACAACTACATTGAAATACAACTCTGAGCCCTGCCACATCCAGAAATACTCGGACGACACTGCTATTGTGGCGTGTATCAGGAATGGGTAGGATTCTGAATATAGGTACTTGATAAAAGCCTTCAGTGACTTGAGTCACAAGAACTGTCTCCTCCTGAACACCTCAAAGACCAAGGAAATGATCATAGATTTCCGCAGGTCCAAGCCCCCTCTTCAGCCAGTGAATACCTGTGGGGTGGACATCGAGGTGGCGCCAAGCTAAAGGTATCTAGGTGTACACCTGGATAATAAGTTGGACTGGTCCCTAAACACAGACGCTCTCTACAAAAAGGGGCAGAGCCGCCTCTATTTCTTGAGGAAGCTCAGATCTCTCGACATCTGTAGTAAGATGCTGCAGATGTTTTACCAGTCTGTGGTGTCAAGTGTGTTGTTTTATGCTGCAGTCTGCTGGGGAGGAAGCATCAGACACAAAGATGCAAGGCGGCTGGACAAACTAGTCAAAAGAGCTGGCTCTGTGATTGGAGTCAGGTTGGACACACTGACGGAGGTGGTGGAGAGATGCACACTGAAGATGTTAGAGGCCATCATGAACAACCCAGATCATCCACTCTACAACACCTTGATGGACCAAAAAAACTGTGGTGGACGGCTCCTCTCTCTTCGATGCAGGACGGAGAGATACAGAAGATCCTATATACCAACAGCCATCATGCTCTATAATTCTTTGACATATAATAGATGAGCTGACAGATAATTGAATTTCCCATTAGGGATGAATGAAGTTATTCTTATTCTTATTATTCTTAAACACCCCTTTTCTGATGATGTCATACTGGCAGCAAACTGCTCCACTGCTCCCAGGTGGAATTGATAACATTAATTGTGGCCCCATCACTGGAATGGCTGTGTCACACTAAATGGAAGAGGTGCATTCATTAATTTGATCAATTACATCTCTGTTTCCAGGCAGCTAGTACATTGTTTGTAAACAGTGAAAGGGGTCTATTGGGTTTAACAGCAGAGGTGTGGAGATCATGATCAGACTGCAAATCAATATTTACAGCAAAAATACGCAAAGGGGGATTATGAATGTAGTACAGACTTATTATATCTTCAGCAGTCTGTCCAGCTCCCATGCCACAAAGCCACACTTGAAGGCACTGTGAAGTGTGTGAAGACCACAGCTCCCCACAGCCACCAGCTACTTACCTGTCATTGAAATTCATATAACTTTATTAGAAAACGTATATAACCATATCAGTTTAAAACCCTTCTCTGCTGTGTCTGTAGGAAAGTGACATATGGTATAACAGGACATGATGTGACTGTTGAGAGATAGAAGAGTTGGAGGCTGTCCTTTCTCTTCCCTAGTGGTCCAGGGCTTTGGCCATAGGCTTTAGGGAAATGAGTTGTGTGTTTGTGTGATAAATAATCATGAAGACACTTTATATAGTAATGATTCTAAAACACACCTCCATGGAGATGAGCCTGCTCCTCCTGGAGAAGGTTGAAGAATTTCCAATTTACACTGGGACCATCCATCGACACAGAGACCAGGCTCCTTAGATGGAGCTGGTCAATACACTCCTGAAACACAAAAAGTGTTCAGCATTACAAATGAAAACAACAAGGGTTGCAGGATGAACAAATGTGTAGTCTAATACTCAATTGCAGCTACAGGAAGGGTGACTGAGAATATTCAAATGGCTGTGATAATTGCAATATTGGCTACGTACCAACACGCATTTCAAATGTACTCAAACACTCATTCCTATGAAGCTGAAAATGAATATACATGTTGCTAGTATGTTCACAGATGAGACAAGTAGGCTAAGTTAACGTTAGCCTACAATAGGCCCACTGATATAAAGTTAGCTGGGATACTACAGCTAGTGGCATTCTAGAAAAATGTTTAGCTACCAAATGGAACAGATAAATAATTGATTTGCATTAGCTACTTACTCTGACACTCACCAGCAAGTCCTGCGCGGTTGCATGTCCCATGAACTGGGACCCCAGGTACCTCGACTGGACTTCCCCCTCATCCCAGAAACCAACATGTATGTCCAGCTGCTTGGTCTTGGTCACCTGGTTCAAACTTTCATCAAACATAACAACGAACAGTCCGTTGTTGACTTTCGCGACGAGATCCCTCTTGATGTATTCTGCCAAACCGAACTTTGTGATATAAGCCGTCTTATCACCACCACATGCAAATGTTTTCGCGATGTCGGAATTGGGGGACATGTGGGCAAAAAGCTTCCCTATGCCTTCGTTGCTGTTATAGTACTGGTGTTTAACTACGGTTTCCAGCGTCCACACCACTTGTGCCACCAGTGTTGGCGTGGATCCCAGCGCAAGGTCGATTCTTTCTTGAGTAGCGGGAGGCCGAGTAGAGGTACCGGGAGGCTGGGTAGCGGTAGCGGGTGGCTGGGAGGTTGGAGGCGGAGCCGGTGCTGCAGGCACTGGGTCCCCCGAAGGAGGAAGCATGGAGGAGAGTTGTCTGGTGTGTTGCAGACCTCTTATTTGGGTCTCATGTTTCGAGGACTTCGCATGCGATTCCAGAGCCTTTACCCCTAATGTTCCGAGTTGAATATTTGTTTTGCACAAAGTGCAACGGGCTTCGTGCGGATTCCCATCCGCTGCTTTTAACCAGGACCTACACGCTCTTTAATCTAACCACAGCTCATTAAACCTACACTTGCCCATGGCTTCTCAAATTACATAGCGAGCATGGAAACTCAAAACAAAGTGAAGTTAGAAGCTCTTAAATGGAGCAAACGACAGTCTACGTTTAACCAACTCAAACTAAACGCATATTTACCACGGCGCAGCGTAGGCTAGCCGTGGTCAGGGAGTCACTTGATTCTGCAGCAAGCAGGAATGCTGGCTAGCTAAGCAAGTGCCGCGAGAACACTAAACATTTTTAACACAATAGAGAGCTAATCTCATTTTTAAGACCAACACCTAATTTTTTAGACCTAATAACCAAAATTAAAAAAATTAAAAATTAAAAAATTGGATTGTTGGATTTAAGACTTTTTAACACCAGCGCGGGAACCATGAGTAGACCAGCAGCTCCTGTGTTCAGCGAGTTAAAATTACTGTTTTTCTTAATTGAATCTGGTGGCTTTGCAGACAGCATGGATGAGGAACTGAAGCAGTTAACGGCTTCCCCGCTAGAATGGGCTGTCTGATGAAAAGGTAAAGCATTGAAAAACTGTCTCAACTTAGCCTACAACTAAACTGATAGAGATTTTTTTTGGAGGGGTGTCAAAAATAGATTTTGTTGCTGTTCACATCCACAGCGGTACATTGCTGAGCTTCAATGTTGGAATCCAGCTTGCTTTTCCGAACTGGGAGCATGTTGACTGATATCCACTGCATTAAATAAACTGTCTATGGATAAGTGTCCTATACAAACCCACTTCAAAAATTCAAATTATTCCTTTAAAATACATACTGCATCAGACCAAACACACTATTTGCAGTTGTGATGGTTTTTACCTTTGCAAAAACTCAACATAGTCCTTTAGTGTGTGTGTGTGTGTGTGTGTGTGTGTGAGTGTGTACCAGTAAAAACAGTGATGACTGAGTCGTCTTTAGCTGCCTGCTGCAGAGCTGCAATAATTTCATTGTACATCTGAAAGAAAAGAGAAAGTTAAGAATTAACCTCTATCGTGTTTCCCCTTAATTGTCAAGCAAAAAGAAATCTGAATTAGACGTGTTTCCATCAACTGGTTTGGAGTAAATAAACTCGGCTACAGAAAGTGTTTTTTGGTAAAAAAGTTGGCAGTAGAGGCTATGGTTTACACGTTGCTTGTAATCCACAGATAAACTTGAAGCTTGTGGCTCGCTACATGGTAGAAGAAATGCTGCCATTGTCTACGGTGGAGTCTAAAAAAAGGTGGAGGAGGACTTGCTGACAGACAGGTCACACTCAGAACTTGCATTATGCCTGGTACACACTACACAACTTTTCTGCCTTTTCTTAAAGTCACTATGTCACATTTCATGATTGTGGAGTCATAAAATCGTGCTGTGACTTGGCCGACAGACATGACACACTACACGATGGTACTCACCAATTATCCCCGGTCGTCTTTCACGACGTGTGTGAGGTCATCGAGTTATTCTTGTCCTTTTTTATTACTTTTACTATTATTTCAGTTACTGTGTCTGTTCATGTGCCAGCCGACATGTTGTTGTAGTCACCTAAAAGTGTCAGCAGATGGCAGGAGCTACATTTGAAGTACCGTATGTAAACATTCAAGCTACTGTATCCCCCACAACCAAGTTCCTACAAATGTTTCAGAATAAAAGCCTATTTAGAAAATGGAGGGATTCTCTCAGCCAAGGTTATAAGGGGCTTTTAATTTGAAAGAAATTCAGGAAGGGTTGAGTTTGAAATGACAGCACAATATGTTAACTTTATAAAGACAACAGGAACAGATAAAAAGTAAAAATATAAAGATATAGAGGGATTAATAAATAATGGACCGTCTATAATGTAGTTTGTTTCAAATGAAGCTGGGAGCCTCTGCAGTTGTGGTGAGTAAAAGCCTCTATTTGTTAATGCTATTACTGTATGTCCGTCTCCATTATGAGGACATAACATTGTTTGCTAGCTTGATGCTAATGACAGTAACGTTAACTCAGCGGGTTGACAAAGTGCCTCTACTGTTTCACACCATCATTTCCCCCTTTTACTCTGTGTGGTAACATCCCTAGAGGAAATATTAAAAATGCTGGGGTGTTGTTGTCATACAGTTGTCAGCAGCAGATCGTTCTGTGTTTCTACTGGTCAAAGTGACGGCTGTGATGGGAGAATTGGATCTCAGTGAAGGGCAAGTGGTCCATAACTTTAATTTTGGAGACAAAAAATGTAGGCTTAGCGCCTGGTGGTCCATTGCCCAATAGGAAATGTAGAATACTCAAAAGTACTTTAAAAGTACTTGAGTTACTTTACTCAGGGGGTAATGCAGTAAAGTACTTTGATTACTTTTAAAGTAACCCTTACCCAACTCTGTATTACACTTATCTTAACTGATGAAAAGCCGCTAATAAAGTTTGGCTAATTCAGTAATAAACATATTTTAATACCTATAGAGTCTTAAAAATAAATGCTCCCTGTTATTTTGTTTTGTACAAACTTTTATTGTGAAGCACCAAAATACGGAAATGTTGAGTTTTCGAACAGCAACTTCAAATATGGCTGATGGTGAACATAAACAGTAAAATAAAGCAGATATGTAAGTAAAAACAGGACACAGGAGAGAAACTAAACTCCAAACTATAGAGATTCAGTTAGAAGCTACGTAAGTACTGAGAGCTGAACACACAGAGACTTTTTTAAAACGCCTTTCTCTCTGGTCTCCTGCAGACAGAGGTGTGTAGAGTCTCACAACATACATGGTGGTTGGGTGTTGGCTGCGGTCAAGACGCCACCGGTACCTGCTTGAGTGGCGGTCCTGCTTTTGGACCTACTCCGGACATCTCCGGGCATCGAAACTGATAACAGTCAAGCCATGCCGGCACAGCATGGCTTAACTGGACGCCACTAAAAAGCTAAAGTTGCCAAATTAGAAGAAATCCCCACAAGGCTTCAGATATTGCGTTCCTGAGACTTAGATGGAAAAAGTCACATTGACCTTGACTTTTCACTGCCAAAATATAATCAGTTCATGTTTGAGTTCAAGTGGATATTTGTGCCAAATTTAAAGAAATTCCCCAGGGTGTTCTTGAAATATTGCGTTCACAAGAATGGGTAGGACAGACAGATGGACAACCCAAAAACGTAATACCTCTGGCCACAGCTATCGCTAGTGTGGAGGGATAAAAAAAAAACATTTTAGATTTCCTGTTTCTTCCTAATGTGCATAAAACACACCTCAGTGGTGATGGCATTTTTCTTGGTCGGCCGGTTCAGTTTAATGGTGGTGATGTCATCCACTGTGGTGACCAATAGTGTCTCATACGTCGTCCTGCTCCCAGCAAGCTGTGCAGCCACCTGGGCGGAGCTTCCACCTTCTGCTGCCACCAGGGAGCCAATCAGGTCGCAGTACTGCTGTCTAGCTTCATCCTGAGTGACACAAAGAGAGGAGGTGAATTTAACTGTTTGTTTAAGACGTGTTGTTTTACTTTGTACAGTTCTGAGGTACTTGTACTTTACTTTCCTTTTTACTGTTCTTTTTACTGCACTACATTTATCTGACAGCTTTAGTTACTAATACAAATATAATCAATAGATTATATATTATCATAGCTCAATCTACCCAGCAGTATAAATAGTCAATAAAATGGGCTCCATATTTACAAGCTGCAACATTAAACTGATCAACATATTAATGCATTAATAATTATAATCCAATAATATCATATATATTATACTGAATAATAAGTACTCTAAGTATATTTTGATACTGATACTTTTACTTCAGTAACATTTTGAATGCAGGACTTTTACTTAAAACAAACAGAGTATTTCTAACTGTAGTATTAGTATTGATATGCCGCAGCGGTGCCTGGACAGCGTGACGTGTGTGGTTGTGCTGCTGCCGTGGTCCTGCCAGATGCCTCCTGCTGCTGCTGCCATCATTAGTCATTAGTCATACTTCTACTGTTATTATACACATATGACTATTGTCACACAAGTATACTGTCAGATATTAATACATACTTTCAACATATTGTACCACAGTAGCCAGAACTATAACTATAATATTATTACTTTCATTAATGTTGTTGTAAGCTACTGTCATTACCTGCATCTCTCTCTCTCTCTCTCTCTCTCTCTCTGTCTCTCTCTCTCTCTCTGTCTCATTGTGTCATATGGATTACTGTTAATTTATTATGCTGATCTGTTCTGTACGACATCTATTGCACGTCTGTCCGTCCTGGAAGAGGGATCCCTCCTCAGTTGCTCTTCCTGAGGTTTCTACCGTTTTTTTTCCCCGTTAAAGGGGGTTTTTTTGGGGGAGTTTTTCCTTATCCGCTGTGAGGGTCTTAAGGACAGAGGGATGTCGTATGCTGTAAAGCCCTGTGAGGCAAATTGTGATTTGTGATATTGGGCTTTATAAATAAAATTGATTGATTGATTGATTGATATGACAAGAGTACATCCTCCACCTCTGGCTGATTGGCAGCAGCTGGCAGTCTTTTCTTCAACTCTTCCTCTCGGCAACACTTAAAACAGATGTACGAACCAAATACAGCAGAATATGTTTCTATGCACTTGCTATTCCTAAAGAAAAGCATCACTAACAAAACTCCACAAACACTACATTTACAACAACGTCACAACACCGGTGGAAAGCTTTTAACAGCATCAACAGCAGGAAATAGTAACACTGCTCTGACATAACTGTAAAGGGATAAACAAAAGGTAAAATTAGGTGGATATCTGAAAGTACATACAGGGCTGGGGAGTGAAACTGAAGTCCAAATGCACAAACAGAGCTTTTAGTGTCAGTCAATCATCCATATTTGATTACAGTTCCACCAGTTTAACTTAGCAGTAGAAGAATCTGAAGGATTTTAGTTTCCTCTCTTTGTTTCACCTGGAGCAGGTGTACCTGTGAAATGGAGCCCAGAGATTTCCATGCGTCCCATTTGACCTTGTTAACGAAGTCCAGCATGCCTGGTTTGGGGGTGATGCAGGGACCCTGAGTGGCCTGCAGGAGAAGAAGGATCAATAAGTATGTTACACACACACACACACACACACACATATATATATACATATATATATATATATATATATATACATATATATATACACATATATATATATACAGTACAGGCCAAAAGTTTGGACACACCTTCTCATTCAATGCGTTTTCTTTATTTTCATGACTGTTTACATTGTAGATTCTCACTGAAGGCATCAAAACTATGAATGAACACATGTGGAGTTATGTACTTAACAAAAAAAGGTGAAATAACTGAAAACATGTTTTATATTCTAGTTTCTTCAAAATAGCCACCCTTTGCTCTGATTACTGCTTTGCACACTCCTGGCATTCTCTCAATGAGCTTCAAGAGGTAGTCACCTGAAATGGTTTCCACTTCACAGGTGTGCCTTATCAGGGTTAATTAGTGGAATTTCTTGCTTTATCAATGGGGTTGGGACCATCAGTTGTGTTGTGCAGAAGTCAGGTTAATACACAGCCGACAGCCCTATTGGACAACTGTTAAAATTCATATTATGGCAAGAACCAATCAGCTAACTAAAGAAAAACCAGTGGCCATCATTACTTTAAGAAATGAAGGTCAGTCAGTCCGGAAAAATTGCAAAAACTTTAAATGTGTCCCCAAGTGGAGTCGCAAAAACCATCAAGCGCTACAACGAAACTGGCACACATGAGGACCGACCCAGGAAAGGAAGACCAAGAGTCACCTCTGCTTCTGAGGATAAGTTCATCCGAGTCACCAGCCTCAGAAATCGCAAGTTAACAGCAGCTCAGATCAGAGACCAGATGAATGCCACACAGAGTTCTAGCAGCAGACCCATCTCTAGAACAACTGTTAAGAGGAGACTGCGCCAATCAGGCCTTCATGGTCAAATAGCTGCTAGGAAACCACTGCTAAGGAGAGGCAACAAGCAGAAGAGATTTGTTTGGGCCAAGAAACACAAGGAATGGACATTAGACCAGTGGAAATCTGTGCTTTGGTCTGATGAGTCCAAATTTGAGATCTTTGGTTCCAACCGCCGTGTCTTTGTAAGACGCAGAAAAGGTGAACGGATGGATTCCACATGCCTGGTTCCCACTGTGAAGCATGGAGGAGGAGGTGTGATGGTGTGGGGGTGTTTTGCTGGTGACACTGTTGGGGATTTATTCAAAATTGAAGGCACACTGAACCAGCATGGCTACCACAGCATCCTGCAGCGACATGCCATCCCATCCGGTTTGCGTTTAGTTGGACGATCATTTATTTTTCAACAGGACAATGACTCCAAACACACCTCCAGGCTGTGTAAGGGCTATTTGACCAAGAAGGAGAGCGATGGAGTGCTGCAGCAGATGACCTGGCCTCCACAGTCACCGGACCTGAACCCAATCGAGATGGTTTGGGGTGAGCTGGACCGCAGAGTGAAGGCAAAGGGGCCAACAAGTGCTAAACACCTCTGGGAACTCCTTCAAGACTGTTGGAAAACCATTTCAGGTGACTACCTCTTGAAGCTCATCGAGAGAATGCCAAGAGTGTGCAAAGCAGTAATCAGAGCAAAGGGTGGCTATTTTGAAGAAACTAGAATATAAAACATGTTTTCAGTTATTTCACCTTTTTTTGTTAAGTACATAACTCCACATGTGTTCATTCATAGTTTTGATGCCTTCAGTGAGAATCTACAATGTAAACAGTCATGAAAATAAAGAAAACGCATTGAATGAGAAGGTGTGTCCAAACTTTTGGCCTGTACTGTACACACACATATATATATATATACACTGTGTGCTTTCTAAAGCACAACTTGACAGTTGATAACCAGCATGGCAGTGAAGACAAGGATCAAAGGCCTGAAGTCACGCAAGCTGTCGACGTGAAGGAAGAATTGACTGGAAACTCTTCACCATGGCAAAGGAAACCCTTGGGAAAACAGTCAATCAACCTGAAGCAAGAGAGAACCTTAGCTAAAACTGCCTTCACCAAGCAAGCGAACTACCTGAGCAAAGCTGCAGATAGCATGATCAAGCATGAACGACAAGAAGAGTTCAGCAAGCTCACTTACCTGGCAAGGCATGTCAGCGATACAAATTATGAATACAGGGCTGGCCTACTGGCAGACTTTGAAACTGAAACTGATGAGGGTGAAGAAGTCAAGCTCGACAAGCACCAGCAAGATGAGCTTGAAAAGACAATGACAGAGTGTGACGTAAAACTTGATGAATTCCGGAAAGCAGTCCAATCCAACCTCTGGCCAAGATATGGTGAAGATGAGGTAAACTCTGCAATCCAAGAAGCAGGAATAGCCTGTGAAAGAGCTCATGCAAAGCCCATCACTGCTATCTATAGAGACGGCTATGAACTGCAGCTGGAAGGAGCAAAAAGGCTTGTCCAAGATGCAGTGCAAGCCTGAAAGACTGGGAAAAGTGGATCCCACATGATCAGACAGCACGCCTGGAAGGCAGAGTAAAGGACCTGAGAGCACTCGGCAACAACCTTGAAGCCAGGAGGGCAGAACTGACCTATGACTAAGCCACGCCCCCCTCCACTCACTCGGACAAAATATCAACATTCAGTGACCGCCGTTATGGCAGGTGTCACAGTACACGGCATTTCGCAGGAGGCAATTGATGATTTTTGGAGACACAACGATCAAATTTTGGTGCATCAAAGTACCACTGAAGTTAAGGTTTTTGGCTCAGAATATGAGAAAAGGGTAACGGCCTTTTTACCATCTTTACCAAGAGTGTCTCTCCGTTAGTTTGGTGCTACAGTATTTGCATTGAATCATTCAGCATAACGTTTGCCAACCTTTGTTATCTCTGTGATTACAGATAAGTTAATGAAGCTAAGCCCCAGAAGTTAACGTTAGTTTAACTAGAGCCCTTTGGACAACAGCTAACAATGATGTACGATCACCAAAGTACAAAATCTAGAACAAAATATGCTAATGTACTCCCAGCAAACAAGGTGACATGATGAACAATGCAGCTAGGAGCTAACGTTAGGCTAACTTTAGCTAATGTTAGCTAGGGATGTTAAAGATAACTTATATTTATATTTATATATTTCTTTCCAGCAAAGTGACAATATGTTGCCTCAAACACGATGTTGACTTACCTTAGAACAGATGTAGACATCCTTGTTAATCTTACTCACGTTGAGTTGATGTTGTGGTCTACTGCACAACTTTATCCAAAGGAGAAACTTTTCTTGGTTGAGATGTGGTTTAGGAAAGGGTAAAAAATACACCCCGTCACCCAGCCTCTCAAAATAACTTGTGTCAGACTTGCATGTACCCCATGCACACCGTCTGACCATTTTTAAACTTCAAATCTCAGAAAAAGCTCATAAAACCAAACGAAACTTACTTTCTGTAATGCATTTCAATGGACGTCTAGGCAGAGAATGTCCGAGTGTATGGAAATGGCTATACGCACTGTGATTGGCTCATCGCTTTTGAGGGCGGGGCTTAGCCATAGGTCAATTCCTCACTGTACAAAGAATTGTAGAGGGGGAAAGAAGAGGAAGAGAGACTCAACCTATGCCAGTTCCCCAACCAGTGGTGAGAATAAAGCCAACAGGTCTACCCAAATTCACTGGGTTTAAGAGGACTTTCCACAGATGGAAGAGAGACTGGGAGAACCTGCAAAGGCAGGGAGAGCCGATCGGCTCAGTGGAAGTAAAGAAGTTCCAACTCCTTGACAGTGTGGACGAGAGAATATGCAGAGACCTGCACCTGTCAACATACAACAGTGCTGAAGACATGTTCAGAGTACTTGAAAACAGGTATGGAAACAAGTCGACAATTGCCTTGGAAATAATTGAGGACCTGGAGAAAATCCCTCCTTTAAAGTCACACCAGCCAAGGAAGGTAACGGACTTAATCCAAACTGTAGAAAAGCCCCTGAATGACCTCACCGAGCTTAAAAGCACCGGAGCTATCAAGAATCCCCTGGTGATCAAATCCATTGAGAGCAAACTGTCAGACAATATGAAGAGAGACTGGCTCACATTCATGGTCAATCCAAGAAACAGTGTCACACCAGACAATCACTTTGACAGCCTTCTTACAGTCTTAAAGACTCAAGAGGACATTCTAGAAAAACTAGATCAACTGGGTGTAAGTGAAAAATCTATAAAGAAACCTACTTACCTGGAGAAGAAGTATGTCTCCACAAAGTCCACAAGGAAAGGAGGATGTGTTGTCTGTGGAGATTAAAGGCACCGTGAAAAGATTTTCTTTTGCAAGCGGTTCAAAGAACTAAAGCCTGCCGAGGAGCTAAATGCTGTTGAAAAGCTGGGAGCATGCAAAAGATGCCTTGTATGTCATGCAGAATATGATGAATGTATGGACACTTACCTGTGCAGGAACAGAGATTGAAAGAGAGGAAGCTCCTCAGACCACCATTTCTTTCTTCGCCTGAAAGGAGACTTCAAAAGGAAAGAATCTGAGAAAGTGGGAAAACCCAGCACCAGAAGGCAAACACTCACAGAGGAGCAAGAGAAATTAATATTTGAGCTCACCCCAGGAAAACTTTCACCAACATGGCTGCAAAATCACACTGCACTGAAAAGAACCTACCTGGAGTGATGGACTCAAACACATGCGAGTTACCAGTTATTCTTATGCTTCTGGAAGTAACTACGAATGCAGGACAGAAAACTGGGACTCTCATTGACTTGGCATCAGATACCAACTACATCACTCACAGTGCTGCCAGAAGACTTAATCTATGAAGTGAAAGATCACGCTTGTTGTCCATGGAGTCTGAGGCATGGCCATGAAGGTAAAGACCAAAAGATACTTACTCAAGGTGAGAGTCAAGACACCTAGAGACACGGAGAGAGCTCATGAGCTTATCTGCTATGGCTTGGATGAAATTGCAAAAGTGCACAGAGTAATCAAACCGCAACAACTCAAGAGGTTCTTCCCTGACACCAACCTGGAAGACTTTCACAGACCAGAGCACATTGAGCTTCTCATCAGCCACCGTGAAGGAAGACT